GTGTTGTTACCCCAGGTATTTGAGGATGACATTGTTGTGCTGCCGCTTGCTTTGCTCCAGTCGATGCCTCCGCTCTGTGTGGGGTTTGTGTAGGAGGGTGTTGTCGTTGTAGGGGATACCATGTTGTTCATGCTCATGGCTGGTCGGATTGCCTGTTGTTGAGTGAATGATGAGCTACCGATGCCTGGGTTTGCCGCGCTAAGAGCGGGGAACGAGGAGTTGAGTGTGTTTAGTGTGTTGTCTGGAGTTATGGCCCTGCCTTGTGGTTTCGGGGCGCCGAGGCTGGTGTTTGGTGGTGGAGAAACGGGAGGCGTGGACCACGAGAAGGTTGGGGCTGGAGATGCGTTGTTGGATCTGGTTCGGTTGGTGGATGGGCGCGAGGGGAGGATCGTGGAGGATGAAGCTGATGCGGAGGCGTTCGCCCATGGGTCTCCAACTAGCATGTCTGTACCACCTGATGGACCTTGCTGTCCTCCACGTACGAGCGCTTCGAAATCCGTGTCTCCATTCCCGTTGCTAGTATCGAAGCCGTTGGTCGCTGATGGGCCGCCAAATGACATGAACTCGTTGCGTGTAGTTGCTGTGGACCCGTTTGCGCCGAGCTCTTGCAGCTTGCGCGTCTGTTCGTTTTCGACACGCGCGGATGTCGTCTTAATGAGGTTCATGTACGCTTGGAATTGCTGCAGATTGAGCAGCGGTCCTAGACTGAACGACCACAAGATGGGGAGTACATCCATAGCGAGGAAGTCACTGTCAACTTGGTGGCTGATAGCCTTGAAGACGTCGAGTGCTGCCATCTGTCAATGTGTTAGCATGTTGCTCATGGCTTGTTTGTTTGTGTTGACATACCATAACGGCAGGCTCCTTCGTCTTGATGGCACGCAGTAGCGGTACAATCTTCTCTTGAATGGTGTACTTGTCGAGAATTGAGACATTCGAGCTCTTCGCCTTGGGGGCTGCTACCATCCCAGTAAGGCCATCACCTTGAACGTCGTCCTGCTGATCATTTCCTCCACCACAGAGTGTCTTAAAAGCCTCTAGACCGCGAATCTTGATACCCATACTACTCGTCTTCGCAAAGATGCTAGCAATCACAGGGAACAGCTCGTTCTTGACAGTTGAAAAGTCTAGTATCGGCAAAACAATAGGCAGCGTGCGCAGAGCTGCATCGACTAGCGAATGAGTAGGCGATTCGAGCGCATGGTTAATAATTGGAAGAATATCGTCTTTGAACTCTTTGCCGCTCGAATTGTCAGCAGCGATCTGCATGTTTTCAAGAAGCACCATGAGGCCAGCTTCTTTCAGGCTGTCCCTCTCCTGAACTGGGGCCTTTGGGTTCGCAGCCGGGGCACTCAAGAATGTCTCTCGCAGCTTGGGTATCACCTTCTCGGTAAATACTCGCTTGCCAGATGGAAGCATAGTAATGATCTTGAAGACGTTTTGAAGTATCAGAGTGAGAAGCTCCCGATCCTTCATCTCCTCAAGTAGAGCAGGTAGTATCTTCTTGTCAAGTACAGACTTGGGAAACTGGTTCAAGATACGCGGCAGACCACGCATAAACTGTGACTTCTCATTGGGTGTCTTCCCAGGGAGTCCGTCAAGGAAGCGGATCGTGGATACTAGGATGTTGTCGAAGTACTGTGCTTGTTGAAACTCTCGTGCATCCATGCGCGACGCCGGCCGCCGTGTTATCAAGCGATCTAGAACGCCGTTGACGACATCTCGCGGTAACGGTTGCGAAGACATGAAGTTGTTCGTCTTACTTGGAACCGAGGAAGACGAAGAAAACGTCCGCTTGTAGGAGGAGGAACTACCATTGAAATCCAACGGGCTCTTGTGCGGCGAGTTGTATAGTGCGATGATGAGCATGCCCAGACTGAACATGTCTGCCGCAGGAGTTATGTTGTTGTCCATGACGAAGTCGGGCGAAGAGTAGTCTATGTTCAGCTGAACGTGTCGAGGCAGGCGGGCATCGTAGTTGAGGACTTCTGAGAGCGAGATGGGCGTAACGGAGGTGGGCTTCGTCGAGTTCTCTGGAGGTGTTGAGAAACCAAGACCTGAGATTTTCCAATCAGACTGTCACGGTGATCAGCAAAGTGTTGGTAAAGATTGAGTAGCATTGTGGCTACCTACTTTAGCGTTGATGAAGATGGCGTCCGGGGTCAAATTCGCATGCACCAGTCCAGCGCTCTCGTGCAGAAACTCTAAGCCCTTTGCGATTTGTAACAACCCTTTCTGTATCTCGAGCTCGTCGATTTCGAGCTCGCGTCTTCGCTTCTGGCCATCGGCTTCTTCGATGACGTATCGGCTGCGGCGTCCTCCAACACCGCCTGCCTTCTCCTGCTCGTCTTTTTCTTGCAACAGGCCAGCGAGCGATGCGGTGACGGGCTCTGTCGCGAACATGAGGCCGCCGCCACGGGTTTCCTCGACTGGCTCCGCCAACTCCAATACGCTTGGGTGCCGTAACCGAGCTAAGGAACTGGCCTCTTTCTTGAGTCTCTCCACGACCTCCTCATGCGCCCGCTTGAGTCCTGAAGCCGCTGAGCGCCCACCGAAACCTGCGCCAGCTGGTGGCTCCAACGACTTCTTCTCGAACACAAAGACAGATGCCGCCTTCCCCGTCGACTTCTTCTTCGCGTCGTATATCTTCCATGGCCCTGAATACGACGTGGGCTGGGGGCTGAGGGTGTAGTTGCTCGAGATGTTGGAAGTGAAGGACTTTAGGGCGTTGGAGAACATGGTGCTGGTGGTCTATTCGCGCGCGCGGCGATACTGTGGGAGTCGAGCGAGGGCGTCATGGACTGTGATGTTGGCGTGGGCGGTGTTGGTATGCGCGTGAGATCTGAGACAGACAGCTGGAACTGCCGAGAGGATCAAGACATTCGGGTCGCTCTTTCCGCAAAATGTCCTGGGATAATCACCAAGGAGTCGCGCAATGTCTAGACTCGTCGGTATGATGGCGGAGACCCAAAAGTCAATTGATAGACAAAGCCAAGTGTTAGTTCCCCCACGCGAGCTGTGGAGAAGGATGCCAGGGCCGTCTCTAGTCTCCCGCCTTGCATGACGTGAGCGCACGCAGCACACATGGGCAGCGTGAGTGCAGCACGGCCAAGATACCAAGCACGCGAATAACCTCAGATATCCGCGCTGAAGATGATTCAGATGTCAATTGCGCCCTACGGTTGCCTATTCGGTGGCTGGTGCAGTGCGCGATCGGAGGTGACTGTCGCGACTGTGTCGCGAGGTCCGATATCTCCAGGCTGCGGTCAGCTTCGGTCTTGTAGCCCAAAATAATTATTACTCTGGAATCCACCACCTGCACCAACTCTCTTCTCGCCCCACCCTCTCCGCTTGCACTGCATCCCTCACAATGCTTCCGCAGCGGTCTTCACGATTGCTCTCTTGCCTGTCCCGTGGCGCCTTCCGTTCGCCTGTAGCACCGCTCAGCGCCTCGCTGCGATGTCGGACCCAGCGACCCTACAGCATTCATGCTGACAAGTCTGTCGGCGAGAAGATACAGGATATCGACCCGACCAAGCTCTCCATAACCAAGACGACGACACCCAAGGATCTGCTGCCGCATGAAGAACTTGTCTTTGGCCGCAACTTCTCTGGTAACAGCTCCAATGGCACCAAAGTTTACATCTAACACGTATTCAAGATCACATGCTCTCGCTCGAGTGGACAGCAACAGAAGGATGGCTGCCAGCACGCATTACTCCCTACCAAAACCTTAGTCTCGACCCCGCGACGTGCGTCTTCCACTATGCGTTCGAGTGCTTCGAGGGCATGAAGGCCTACAAGGACAAGAGCGGCAACATCAGGCTGTTCAGGCCGGACAAGAACATGGCCAGGCTGAACAAGTCATCGGCGCGAATTGCATTGCCCACATTTGACCCTGACGCCTTGATCGAGCTCATCGGCAAGTTTGTAAAGGAGGATGAGCGTTTCGTTCCTGAGTACGTTCAGTCTGAATCATCTGTTGGCTATAACACACTCTGACCATACCAGTGCGCGAGGCTACTCTCTCTACCTTCGTCCAACTATGATCGGCACACAGCGCACCCTCGGCGTCGGCCCTCCCGCGTCTGCACTACTCTACGTGATCGCTTCCCCTGTCGGCCCATACTACCCAACCGGATTCAAGGCTATCTCGCTCGAGGCTACAGACTACGCTGTGCGCGCATGGCCTGGAGGTGTTGGAGACAAGAAGCTTGGTGCCAACTACGCACCTTGCATCGTCCCGCAGATGCAGGCTGCAAGCCGCGGTTTCCATCAGAACTTGTGGCTGTTTGGCGAGGAAGAGTTCATCACCGAGGTCGGCACCATGAATCTGTTTGCAGCCATCAAGAACAAGGAGACCGGAAAGCCAGAATTGCTCACTGCGCCTCTTGACGGAACCATTCTTGAGGGAGTAACACGCGACTCAATCCTCGAGCTTGCGCGGGAACGACTGGTGCCCAAGGGCTGGACCGTATCAGAGCGCAAGTTCACCATGAAGGAGGTGGCCGACGCTGCCAACGAGGGACGCATGATGGAGATCTTCGGTGCGGGTACTGCTGCCATTGTCGCTCCGGTGCGCAAGATCAGCTGGAAGGGACAGCTTGTCGACTGCGGACTGGAAGACCACGTCGAAGCCGGCCCAATTGCACAGCAGATGAAGGACTGGATGGAGGCCATCCAGTACGGCGACGAGGACCACCCGTGGAGGTATGAGCTTCCCCAATACTATGCAGATGATTCGCTAACATGACAACAGTTACAAGGTGATATAAGCAAGTAGTTGATATAAATGCGATGTGCTGAGCGTGCATGTTTGCGCAATAGACTGTATATACATGAGACCTGGTCGTAGCTTGAAAAAAGATATGTGGCCCCTGGCGCATTGACATTGGCGACGGTGATGGCACAGTGACTTCGCGATGGTGGGGTAGAGGATGCAGATGCAGAGCGTGCCTGACTACGCCCTCCTTAGATGACGTTCCTGCTAGTCTCTCTAGCTCCCAACCTCTCGTTACACCGCCGACGCTGCAACGCCTAAACACCCCGTCAATTGCCCGCCCAGAGCTGCGCCGCCGCTCGTCAATTCCACCACCACGCGCCCCGACGACACGCCCGCCAATTCCCACGATGCTGGCCGGCGCACTCTGCCGCTTGGCAGCCGACGCCCCCAGGGCCTCCCCACACGACATGCCGCAGCTCGCCCGCACCCTCGGTCGCACCCTCCTCGCCCGCAATGCCGCCCAGCTTCCGTATGCGCGCGCCCTCTCACGCGCCTTCGCCTCTGCTCTCCAGAACCGCCGGTCGTATGCTACAACTACGCGCGCCACCAAGCCCACGGCGACAGTGAAGAAGGCGGTCAAGACAGCCGCCGCTAAGAAGCCTGCGCCCAAGAAGACGGCCACAACAGCAAAGAAGGCGGCTCCCAAGAAGAAGCCCGCAGCAAAGAAGGCGGCGCCCAAGAAGAAGGCGAAGAAGCCTGCCGCGAAGAAGCCTGCGCCCAAGAAGCGCGTCAAGAAGGTCTTGACGCCCGAAGAACAACAAAAGGTCAAGCTCCGAGAGCTACGCGCCAAGGCACTCAAGGAGCCCGTAAGCCGCAGGTCATTGTCTGCTCTCCATGTCTTCTTAGCTGAAAAGCTGGCTGGTGTTCCGGGCCAAAAGACTGGGCAACTTCCGGCTGCTACGGCCGAGTTCCAGAAATTGACCCCCGCTGAGCTTGAGGTAAGCCCTGTCCGCCTCACAGTGCATCACACTATACTAACTGTCTGAAGCACTACAACCACCTCGCAAGCGAGAGGACTGTCGCTAGAAGAGCCGAGTACGACGCATGGCTCAAGGCCTACACTCCCGACCAGATCCGCATTGCGAATAACGCTCGTGCCCAGTTACGGAGGATCTATGCGAGTGAAAAGAAGAAGGCTCCAGCTCATACTGCCAAGCTTGTCGATGAGCGTCATGTGAACAAAGTGATACCCGCCTATGCCGCCTTTGTCAAAGAAAGGTTTGCGTCCGGAGACTTCAAGAACATTTCCCCTCTCGAGGCTATGAAGCTCATCTCCCAGGAGTGGAAGTCTTTGGGCGCTGCTGAGAAGAAGGTATGCATAACGAACACGACGTTGATACAGGCTCTAACATATCTATAGAAATACACAGACGCCTACACTGCTCAGAAGAACGCTGCGGCATCCGCATAATACGTCTAGCGGCAATCGCTTGTAGCGCCTGCTTCTCCATCACCTCTCTACTCAGAGCCGCATCGATTTCCTTTGTCAGTCATGATTTGGGCCTCCATGATACCGTGTATGTTCAGTCTGGATATTGGACCTCACCTGGTGTTCTGGTTCAAGGCGGTGGGTTCAAGGTTGGAAATGGTAAGATTCCTGTAACAGAGACATGTCCATGTAGTTTCTCAGAGTACTGCAATGCTTCTTCTGCGATTGTGGTTTATTCTAATGCAATCGCAAGTATTGAGAGTTGGTGTAGTTGCACAGGAAGTGACTTTGCGCACCAATCATCTAGCGTGCTTTCCTTATCTCTACTACCCCCAGCCAAGCCTGGCAATCATCCCATCCCACAATGTTTACCCCAGGCTTTGCGAGTAGATCTATTTCCGCGGCAGATAAGCGTGCGTACGGGATGTGCCTGCCTGCGTCATTGGGCAAGCCACATTGGAGCTTCGATATGTACCTCAGTTATCTGCATCATGCTGTCTTCTATTTACTCTCCTTGATACCTCATTCAAATCTACAGCCATGGCTTCTGACGAAGAAAACAGACACGAACGTACCCCTCTCCTCCACCAACCTCTATTATCCCATCTCCAACATGAACAAGACGAAGAAGCATCCTCAATCATCGCGTCTACAGTAACGAAAGAAGAACAGCAGTTAGCAGAAAGTCCAGTTGGAGAACGATTACCGTATAATGACTACACCACCATTGACTGGCTACACGATTTGGTACTACCACATCTCGTTGACAACCCCACACGTGGATGAGTATACTAATTCGCGACCCAGGTAAAAGACTCATACCGCTACCGTGCTCTTCACTCTCACCCCGGTCTTCGCTTCAAATTGCTCACACTCCTCGACGCTTCCTCGGGCTGGCTCGCTGTCGTAGTCATTGGTGCATTGACAGCATGTATCGCTTTCCTTGTCGATATCGCCGTAGTAACTGTTTCGGACTGGAAAACCGGATATTGCTCTGGCCATTTCTTGCGGAACAGAGAGAATTGCTGCATCGTCGCTGAGAAGAGTTCATTTATAGGATTGTTGACGAACGAAAGTACAGAAGAGTGTGCAGATTGGAAAGTCTGGAGCCATGATTACAAGAGCAGTTTCGCAATCTACGTGGGCATAGCAGTGGCCTTCGGCATCATAAGTTCGAGTTTAACCATGTTGACTCGGTCTACCCTCCCATCGACCTCATCCTCCAACCCTACCACGAAGATCCCAACCAACGGCCACACCTCCACAACCACCACCTCCCCTCCCTCCTCCAACCCACCGCCCACACCAACCGCACAAGGCAAAGTAATGTACCTAGCCTCCGGCTCCGGCATCCCCGAAATAAAAACCATCCTCTCCGGCTTCTCAATCCCATCCTTCCTCTCCCTCCCCGTGCTAATCGTAAAATCCCTCGGCGCAATCTTCGCCGTATCCTCGTCCCTCTGTCTCGGGAAAGAAGGTCCCTTTGTCCACATCTCCACTTGCATCGGCCACCTAACCGGGCGCTTGATACCCAAATACGCATCCAACGGCCGTAAGATGCGGGAGCTGCTCAGCGCGGCATGCTCAGCGGGACTGTCAGTAGCGTTCGGCGCGCCGATCGGAGGCGTGCTGTTTAGCTACGAGGAGATTAGTACGTATTTCCCGCGGAAAGTGCTGTGGAGGGCGTTCCTGTGTAGTCTTACTGCGGCGATGGTGCTCAAGGAACTCAATCCAACGGGCACGGGCAAATTAGTGCTTTTTGAATCGCGGTTCGGGGATGAGTACAACGCTATTCACTACTTCGTTTTCATTCTCTTGGGCGTAGCGGGCGGTATCTTCGGCGGCCTGTTTTGCAAGTTCAATTTCCTCTGGTCGAAGTGGTTTAGGGCTTTTGGCGTTATTAAGAGACATCCAGTGTTGGAGGTTGCGTTGGTGGTGCTTGCGACGGCGTTGGTTCAGTATCCTAATCCGTTGACAAGGGAACCGGGGGATGTTGTTATTAAGAATTTGTTGGTGGATTGTGGGGAGGATAAGTCGAGCGCGTCTTGGGTTTGTCGGAATGAGAAGGTTGCTGGGGAAAGGGGGACAACGAATTGGGAGTATGTGGGTTGGTTGACGTATGGGACGTTGGCGAAACTCGTTCTTACTACTATTACGTTTGGGATCAAGGTCCCGTCTGGCGTTATCATTCCCGCACTGGATGCGGGTGCTTTCTTTGGGAGGCTGGTTGGTCAGGCTATTGGTTCGATCAGTCCGGGTATCTTCGCCATGGTGGGTGCTGCTGCGTTTCTGGCGGGTGTGTCTCGGATGACCATTTCCCTTGCTGTTATTGTAAGTCTCTTCATCTCCACTTTCTTTCAGTATGCATTGTCAACTAACACTCTCTATAGATGTTCGAACTCACAGGCCAGCTCTCCTATACCGTCCCATCTATGCTCGCCATCCTAACCGCAAAATGGGTCGCCGACGCAATCTCCTCAGAAGGCGTCTACGACCTCGCTCAATCCCTACTCTCCCACCCTTTCCTCGACCCAGACACCGCTCTCTCCATCGTCCGCCGCCACAAAGCCTGCGTCGAGGTCCTCATTCCCCCTCAGCGCACCATGGATGACATTACCGTTCACGTACCTACAAGCAATAAGGTGGCTTTGACTCTGTTGAAAGAGAAGCTCGATGCATTGAGAGAACGGGGTCTCATGGACGCGGGTCTGGTTCTAGTACAGAAGAATGGTGGCGGCGTTGAAGTGTTGCAAGGGTACATTTCGCAGTCGGAGCTCGAATTTGGATTGACGAAACTCGTTCCTGATGTGCTTGTATCGGCGCAGGAAGAGGATGTCCAGGTCAGGTTGTTAGGCCAGGAAATTGATGAGCCGGCGAGTCCCATGAGCTTGGAGATGGATTTGACGCCCTTTGTGGATCGGACGCCATTGAGCATCTGTGCGAAAGCACCTCTGGAATATGCTGTCGAGATGTTCTCCAAACTGGGGTTGAGATATCTTATGGTGACCAAAGAGGGCACAGCACAACTGGTGGGTGTAATTATCAAGAAGAGGCTCGTAGGTTACCTAGAACACCTGAGAGAACACGGCGAAGGAGATTAGTAGGACGTAATTAATACACACAATACACTGTTTAGTGGACAATATCTGATTATAGCATCTTTTCGCTAACAAGAAGCTGAGGCGCCTGCCATGTCTGTCTAGTCACTTTCGCAACCAGTCTGATCACAGCCAGGTCGCTCAAAGTACGAATCGAATTACAACGCTCGTGTCCACACGTGAAATATTCCAACAACCAAGTCCAGCGGGACGTCAGCCATGACCAGCTTACTCCTCAGCCTCGAGAGGAGCCTCCTCGTCGTACTCATCCTCACCCTCGGAGACGGAAGCCTCCTGGTATTGCTGGTACTCGGAGACCAAGTCGTTCATGTTGGACTCGGCCTCAGTGAACTCCATCTCGTCCATACCCTCACCAGTGTACCAATGCAAGAAAGCCTTGCGCCTGAACATGGCAGTGAACTGGTCACCGACACGCTTGAACAGCTCCTGGATGGAGGTCGAGTTACCGACGAAGGTGGAGGACATCTTGAGGCCGCGGGGAGGGATGGAGCAGAGGGCGGTCTGGACGTTGTTGGGGATCCACTCAACGAAGTAGGAGGAGTTCTTGTTCTGGACGTTGCGCATCTGGTCCTCGACCTCCTTCATGGAGACCTTACCACGGAAGTAGGCGGAGCAGGTCAGGTAGCGACCGTTGCGGAAGTCAGACGCAGCCATCATGTTCTTGGGGTCGAACATCTGCTGGGTGAGCTCGGGAACGGTGACGGCGCGGAAGGAGTGGGCGCCGCGGCTGGTGAGGGGAGCGAATCCGACCATGAAGAAGTGGAGACGGGGGAAGGGAACCATGTTGACGGCCAACTTCCTCAGGTCAGAGTTGAGCTGACCAGGGAAACGCAGGCAGGTGGTGACACCCGACATGACGGCGGAGACGAGGTGGTTCAGGTCGCCGTATGAGGGGTTGTTCAGCTTGAGGGTGCGCATGCAGATGTCGTAGAGAGCCTCGTTGTCAATGCAGAAGGTCTCGTCGGAGTTCTCAACCAGCTGGTGGATGGAGAGTGTGGCGTTGTAGGGCTCGACAACGGTGTCGGAGACCTTGGGGGAGGGCACGACGGAGTAGGTGGCCATCATGCGGTCGGGGAACTCCTCACGGATCTTGGAGATGAGGAGCGTACCCATACCGGCACCTGTACCACCTCCGAGGGAGTGGGTGATCTGGAAACCCTGGAGGCAGTCGCAGCCCTCGGCCTCGCGGCGCACGACGTCGAGGACCTGGTCGACGAGCTCGGCACCCTCGGTGTAGTGACCCTTTGCCCAGTTGTTACCAGCACCAGACTGGCCGAAGACGAAGTTGTCGGGGCGGAACAGCTGGCCGAAGGGGCCGGCGCGGACGGCGTCCATGGTACCGGGCTCGAGGTCAACGAGGACGGCACGGGGCACGAACTTGTTGTTGGACGCCTGCTGTAGATCAGTATTGGTCTTTTATCTGCCAAAAGCGTAATCGGGGGACGCACTTCGTTGAAGTAGACATTCATGCGCTCGAGCTGCAGGTCCGAGGTGCCGTTGTAGACACCGGAGCCGTCGAGGCCATGCTCGCCGGAGATGGTCTGCCAGAAGGCGGCACCGATTTGGTTACCCTGGGTATGTTAGCTGTCGTCTGTACACAGAGGAGCGATATCAAAACTTACGCATTGACCGGTCTGAAGGTGAACCTGTGGCAGAGAAACGTCGTTAGCTGTTGTTCTTTGTGTTGTCCCTGAGTCTCGGCGCGGGGCAGCGACGCGCCACGACTAGGCGGCAGTGCGGGCGATACGTACAATCTCACGCATGTTGGCGGTTGGGGGCGAGGAATATGGAAGTTGGAGAGGTGAAGATGCGAGGAGCTGGATTATGGCTGGTCGCTGGTGGTGGTGCTGGTGTGGAGAGCAGGAGGAGCAGAAGCGGTGAGTGCGTTAAAGATCTCTGTGGGTCGTCTGCACGGGCCGTCGGCGCTAGAGCTATTTACTAACAACGCGCCAAAGCTGGTGCCTGCCGGCTGAAGGGGCTAGTCATGAACATGTACAGCTGCACTAGCAAGGCACAAGTCGTTGCTGTCGAATAGGTTCGTCGCTTTGCAGTATCTTGTATTACTGGCTGGTTTCATATCGTGAGAGATGTGTTACTAGAGGCGGTTGCGGATTTGTTGTTCCCATCCCATCCCCTATCAAATCCGCCTAACCGTATCGTCGTTCGCAGCGCGGAAACCGCACAACGCTGATCTTGCAAAGCACATGCATAAATCCTCCCTGACACGCGAACCTAATCCTGCCCAAGACTCCACGTCGTCACCGCCTACAGCTCCTTCTTCGTTGAGCCATTTGCATGACCACCTGCCTGTCGCTTGACAACCTGCGGCATCGTCCAGAAGTTGGGCCAGTAGAGTTCATACTCGTCCTGTCTGTAGTTGAGGCAGTGTCGCAGCCATACGCCCCATACAATGTAGTAGTAAGCTCCAGTTCCCGTCATGAGATGCCTGGTATTGTGAGTTTTCGTCTTCCTAAGATGAATGCAATACTCACCACCAGCCATGACCCTCGAGCACGAAACCCCAGGGCATACCAATCTCCCTCCGCCACTGGATCCACCGCGAGCAATGCACATTGTCGAGATGCCAGACAGCAAAGCCTCCCAGGAAGATGCTGAGGCCGAATGCAATCATCTGCCACATCTTACTGAGAATTTCCTGGTCGCGCACGTCTTCTCTCTCTTGAACCGCCTTCACACCTCCGTGCGGCCGCGGGTTCGCTGCTTCCCTCTCCTTGGACTTGAAGCGCGGGCGGATGTTCACCTCCATTACATACATGGCGCGGAACAGGACAATCGCTGTGAGAATCGCATAGGCGTTCTGATGGAAGGTGGGGTCCTGGAGGAAGTGGTAGTAGAGCGTAATGAAGGCCGCAAGAGACACAAGCCCAATTGCAAGAACCGTAGAGTACAGCCTTGACTTGCCATAAGAGAACGTCGCAAAGTTCATCAAGCAAGTCGTGTAGATCATCGAAAGCTCATCTACCAGTTGCATAGGATCTAATATGAATCAGGTACTGCATGTCAACATATGAATCAACAGCGGACATACATTTCAATGTCGCGTGAAAGAGAAAGCTCCCAGTTCCAACCAGTAGATAGCCAATGAACGCAACAAGAAAGACGGTGTCATGTCCATTCTTCAAGCAATTGCGTATGCCTTTTGCAGCGAGGTACATGAACAGCAGATTCGTGAGCGTGTTGATGATCTCTGCAGAGTACTGCGTGACTACATAATTCTTCAAACGGTTAGCACGCGCTTCTCCAACGCAATGACCCTCTCAACTAACCTCTTCACACCAATCGAGGGTAGAGGTGACCGGAGAGAAGAACCCGTCCTGTTCCGGCGGGTACGGTATCGACGGTAGACGGGAAAAGAACGCGGCCATCTTCACTCTACAAAATTCCCGAAAGGAGAAAAAGAAAGAGGTGAGAGGTTGAGGAAAGAGAAACTGCAGGTGTTTGACTTCGCTATCAAGCTTGTATCTAGCACCGGCTTTTGCGGAAGGAAAGACTGGAGAGCGACAATCCGCGACACGAGAGGCCCATGCTCCAGCGATAGGCTGCCAGACTACCACGCCACACGTGGGCAAACAGTAAGGATTACTGCGCAAAAGGAATCGCCCCCAGTACACATTCCTACCGCCGACGTATACCTCTCGCACACGTCGGAAAGCTTGGCTCCCGAGGCTGCAAGCTCACGGTGCAGTTTTCGGTGTGAATCCAAACAGCCAATCACATCCGCCCAGGGTCTCTCGCAACTGCCGAACCGAGAAAGCTTGAGAAGCAGCAGCCAGGCCAGCGCTCTCACGAGACCTACGAGCCAATCGTCAACATTACCGAAATCTCCGCCCACCATGTCCATGTCAAACGAGGCCTTGCAGAAGGTGCGTCATAAAGTTCCGTGACTGATGAGAAGAAAGAGCTAGGATCTAACGCGGGAAACACCCAGGTCCTACAAGAAATCAGCCAAAAGAAGGCTTTTGCCGAACAACAACTCGTCATTGTCAAACAGCAAAAAGCCGCCCGGACGCGAGAGGGGCGTATGCTGCAACTCACTTCCTCGGAAGTCTCATCGCTGCCTGCAGAGACAAAGGTGTATGAGGGTGTGGGCAAGATGTAAGTTGCATGTGTCGCTATTTGCCCCTCGCGACTGCGGGGGAAGAGATGAGACGTAGAGACTGATTGCTATGAACAGGTTCGTCTGCACGCCTATTCCAGATGTGCAAAAGAGGCTCCAGGAGGAGAGTGAGGCGTTGAACAAGGAGATGTCGAATCTGGATAAGAAGGAGGATTACCTTGAGAAGACGTATACGAACAGTAAGAACAGCCTTGAGCAGGTGCTGAAGGGCGCGGCTTGAGTGTGCTGTCGGTGTTCCGTCATAGCCATGAGATCGATTAAAAAAATCGGAAAGAGGGGTAAGGAAGACTAGAAAGAGTCTACCCAGATGTTTGCTCTTGCCACCGAGTTGTGCAGAGACAATGGCGAAGACTAGCTTCTACTCTGCAGCTGATAGCAGGAAGTTGGTAGTAACACGGCCACAAAAAACAATACGACATTGATAACACACAACCCGCTGGAACCGTTGACGACCAGATACACCATGAGATGATCAGCAATAGTCGCGCGAGTATGAAGTAAAGTGTTTATTTCGCTTTTACCATGCCTCTATTTCTCACCCCTACCGCATCCTAACAAGCATCGCCTCAACACCCTCCAAACACTTCCTCACCTCCTCCGCCGCCCTCGCCACATACGCACCATCCACAACCCTATGATCAGCACTCCAGCTAAACACACACTCCTCCCTCTTGATCAGCTCATCGTTCTCCCCAAAGGCCGGCACCACTCTCGCTTTACCGATACCCAGAATGCCAACTTGGGGTCCAACGATGACAGGTGCCACAGCACCGCCGCCTATGCTACCAATGTTGCTGACTGTGAAGGTCGCGCCTGTGAGATCAGCGGATGAGAGTTTGCCAGC